GGAGAGAAATTACTACAGTCTTTACATGTTCTTAAGCCTGTGGTCCATTAAGCATCAACAGGGATGGATTATACGTTTGAGAGCTAGTCCACTCTGTAATTTGGAAGAACTTGTCCAGAAGTGGAAATCAAGTGCAGGGACATCTGCTGCTGTGTTTTAAGACCTTGAGGAAACCTACACTTTCTAGGTTTCAGGCTGGGCGTTGATAATACGCTGAGTTTGGGTTCTGTGGTTTCAAGGTTGCCTCTAGTCTAAAATGCTCTGTTAGCTCACTTGGCAAACTTGAGATTTGTCTCAGCAATTTGATTTTTAAAATTTGCCTTGAATTCAGAGCTCACAGAATGACAAGCTGGAAGAGACATAGAGACACCTAGGGTAACATGCTGGTTTTACAGATAAGGAAATGGGGACTCAGAGAGTAAGGCTTTTTCCCCCTCTTATATCACGTAACTAGTTTTTGGCTGAGCTAAAACCGGAACCCAGGTGTCATGACTCCTATCTTGGTGCTCTGCATTACACCATATTGCCTCCTCCCAATTAATGGGGATTCACACTTAAGAACCACATATGAAAATAAAGCACAACTAAGCTTTGACTAACACTGACAACCTACCCATTGCATTGAAGAACTACAAAGTTAATAAGTAAATTGATCTGACTGCTGGAAAGACTCTTTGAAAGATTTTTCAGACTTCTGTCTATCCATCTTCTAGTCATCTGGGAAAATACACTATTATTAGAATATAGGGGTAGTAAGAAGGCTATGGTTAGCATGCTGTGTGCCCCTTTTCAGAGACATGACTAATTCAGCTCTGGGCTTTGCATTTTGAAAACCTCTAGAAGCTCTGAATTTCCACCCACCAAGTCACTAGGATCTGACATTGTAACATCAGAGTCTAACAGCTAACCTGCCACTTCCCTCACTTTATACTACCCTATGGCCAAATATTTTCATTCCTGGTGAAATAAGGAAATGATTTCATATTGACTAACCAAAGTCAACACGGGGATCTGCTAATCATGATCACGAGATGTACAGAGCACATATGAGTAAACGAGAAATAACAAATCAGACTTCACTGCTTCATTAGGTGGCGGACACATTACAACAGCATGGTGAGGAAGCAGTGTCCTGTTCACTGGTCCCTGTTCTGCGTGTCTGTCCTAAGGTTCTGGTTTAGGCTCAAGTCCTGGTCTCAACTTCCTCACCCTGCTCAGGCTGAGCCTCCCCTGGAAGCTGCTCGTGGTGCCATGAGAGAGACGAAGGAGCCTTCACGTATTTAATTGGGAGCCATTTCCAATGAAAAAAAGTGTATGCAGCAGTTATCCTAAGAACAGTATTGTATTTCAGTTATTCCAGTGAAAAGGTTGTACTTTGTGCCATAATTTGAAGAAACATCACTTACAGAAATTAGTTTTAAAAGATTGGCTTTATTCGTAAAAAGAGGACAGAAACAATTTAGGTTGGTTATTTTTTCCATTGTAGTGAGAGATGTAAGACATTCAAGTTCCTTAAAAATTAAGAAAAGGAACCTTGAAGTATTCAATATGGAAAAAATCATAATTATTTATATATATATATATTTTTTTTTAGTTTCAGATTATGGTCAGTTGACACATAGAGGAAGGGAGCCATGAGACAAATACACAAAAAATGGGTGAGGAAAGATGGAGAAACAAGCCAACAACAAAAACAGAAAGATACAAGCAGGGAAAGAAAGATGAGAAAAACCAAAAGAAGATTAAAAGAGAATGATCTTTAGGGACCAAGAGAAAGGATGACAGGCGCCTGCTGTGTGGCTTTCCTACCCAGCCCCAAGCACAGTTTGCCTTGTTTTTATCACCCTTTGATTGAAGTCTTTCTCTCCACATGGACTGTCAATTCTGTGAGCACAAGGATTGTGCTGGGTTTTGCTCACCATTGTTTTCCCAGTGCTTAGCACAGACATAGTAAACACAGTAAGAATTAGTAAATACATGGATGAACAAGGAACAAGGGAAGAAAGAATGTGCAGGGAAGGAGAGGCCTGTGGTCCTAAGGCTGGGTCGATGGTCCCCTGAGAGCAGCTGCTGTTCCTCAGAGGCAAGCGAGGCTGATCCCAGTCCCTGAGAAAACTGCAGTCACATTTCGTTGGAGGCACAAAGTCTCATCTATGCTCCCTTTGGCCAAGTTGCAGTCTGCTAAGCATTTGAACAATGTCTTGTCTGATTCTTTTGGGAACTTTCTAAAAGTTGATGTTTTCACCATCCACACCGTGGGTATGTATCACTATGTCACCTGGTACCTTCTCCCCCTTCTCAGGCTCAGCTGTCTGAGGCTCTCAGACGCTTCTGTTTCATCAGCCCCCTCAAGTCTTCCCGGTTGCAGACCAACCCTCTCTCCCAGGACTCTGCCTTCTTGACTCTTTACGCCAGCTGGTGGCAACTGCCTCTGCTCCCAACCTCCAGTACTAAGGGCTCCAGAAAAGGGTCAGCAGACTTGGCTCCACATTGTCAAGTCATCACTGCATCTTCACCCTCACAGGAAAATGCATTTTTCAAGACTTCCACATTGCTGTTCTCTAATACCTCCTGTACGTTCACCATAGACTCTGGCCCATGGCTGCCCACAGCTTCCTAAACCATCCCAAGCACTGACCTCCTTCAGGATGACTTTAAGGACTTGGTGCATGATTTATCCAAAAGATTAGCTCTGCTAATACATTCATTTTAAAAAATATTGTAGTAAAATATATATAACATAAAACTAATCATTGGAAGTGTACCATTTTGTGGCATTGAGTACGTTTGCATTGTTATGCAACCATCACCACCATCCTTCTCTGGAGAATTTTCATCTCCCCCAATTAAAACTCTGTACCTGTTAAATACTAACTCTCCTAATTCACTGATATTTTATCAGATTTAAGGCACTCTTGCTCTAGAATGTTCTTTTTCTAAAGTTGTTCTACTTTTAGAATTTTAGTCTCCTGTCTTGCCAGGCAATCTCTATGCTCACAGATCTGGGGTGGAATCCCAGCTAAAACATTTGCTAGCCTCAGTGTCTTCATTTGTAAAATTCAGATAATACATAATACTGTACACAATTCGCATTCTAAAGAGATAAAAGAACTGAAGTTCATTGGATTGTTGAAAGGATTCGGTGCTTATAGAACCTTTAGCACAGTCTCTTCTTCTCCATCCTTCTTTTCAGTCCCCACATTCACGGCTTGGCTGACGTCCCTGGCTTCCCCATACCTCTGTCTTTCTGATACCCATTCCAGGGGACACACCATCCTCTATGGGATGGCTCTCTGCCTCCACTGCACATCCACCAGGGCTGCTGGTGAACCATAGTAGTTGCCGGGGTCACTACAAGGCATGGTCTCCCACTCTGCTGGGCCATCCATTCTGCCCTGCAGGCATTTTGTGAGCCCCCTGTTTGGCTTTAACAAGCAACCCCAGGGGAATTTGACATACACAGTGCACTGTCCACTTTTCTCAGAGGACTGTCCTAAGCCACAAGCTCCTTGAGAGCAGATATCTTGTCTTACCTGATTTTTGTCTCTAAATACCTGGCAACAGATGTGGAAGCATTGATTGAATGAATGAATCTGGCTGTCACTCTGCATTTCTGAATAAGTTACCCTTCTCCTTTGAAATGCTAATTAACTACAGCTGTTTAAATGCAGTTTCAAACTCTTTAATATGTTTTATCCTTAATCTTTTATCAGTCCTTTTCACTGTCATTGGGCATAGAGAATTATAAGAACTTGTTATTCTCAGTCTAGGACGACAATTACCAAAATGAAAAAAAGAACCACCCCAAGGGCTGGATGAAATTCAGGCAGAAATTCAGAGATATAGGGTGGGACTTTACACAGTCCCTGAGGGGAGGAAAGCACTCTGTTGACTCTTATTCTAGGCGTCTGGCAGGCAGAAGTCTTTGCAGACACTTCAGTAGACTTTTTTGTAGTGGAAAGAACCTAAAACGGGAGGGTCATTGCTGGGGATGCTGGGAGAAGGTGATGGAGAGAAATCGACAGGTAAATATGAATACAGACTGACATACCTAACCAGTGATGGAAACACTCACCTGACCTCAAATCCTGGCTCTCCCATTTCATAGTTTGTTACATGAGTAAACTATCGGAGTCGCTTGTTTCCTCATCTGCAAGGTGCGGACAATATGACATACCTTGCAAGCACTTGAGGACTCAAAGTGGAATATAAGCAATGCACAGTGATTCTGTGATGTTAGGCAATCAGGCAGAGTTCCCAAGGGAGCTGGGTATCTGGTCAAAGATATCTTTGTCTCTACCACAATGGAGGGGAAGGGTGTGTGCACACATGCACACGCACACACGCACCCCTACCCCCAGTCCACCTAGAAAAACAGAACTAGTACCAGCTATTGCCCTCTGGGGAAGTCTGACCCTTTCTGTAATAAAATGTTTCCAGAGGGGGCAGACAGAGTAACCCAGGGCCATGCCCTCCCACTTCCCTCTTCCCTGAGCAGAGCTCAGAGCCTGTCTTGGGGAAGTGGGAGGTAAACTAGCGTGGGTGGCTGGAACTGAAACATTTCTTTTACCATCCTCCTATTCCTCCTTTCTCTTGTGCGGGGAGGAAAGAAAAACAGCTCATGCCTACATAGTACCCATACACACTTGGATCTGCTCTCCCTGGCCCCTAGACCTGACCTCATCATTCATCAAAATTCACTGGATGCCTGGAGGGTTCAGGGCCCTGTTCTAAATGTCTGTCTGGGACCTCCCTGGGCTCCCATAAAAAGTTTGTTACAATATTTAAGGTCTTCCCCCAGCTCATGAAAACCAATGTTGAACCCCCACTTCATTCCCACCCTTATCCCCTCCCCCATCCTTCGCTAGAAAGAGTCCTTTTTGCTTTAAGAAACTTTGATTTATATGTTAATAACAATGAACATCTATAAACAGTCTTTACAGAACTTTAGGCGCCCTTCCATACTTACTCCCTTGTTCCTGAACATTTATTTCTTTTAGGAGAAGAATTTGGACTGGTTTCCCCGGATGCGAGCCATGTCCCTTGTTAGCAATGAAGGTGACAGTGAGCAAAATGAGATTCGGAACCTGCAGGAGAAGTTGGAATCGACCATGAGTCTGGTCAAGCAGCTGTCAGGTCAGCTGGCAGAGCTCAAGGAGCAGGTCAGTGTGCTCAGGGAGATGGGGCTGGGGGGCTCGGGGGGCGGGGGGCGGTTGTTTACTACCTTGAGTGAGGAGAGACCCGGAGACTTATGGGAGCAAGCTGCGGAATTAATAAATTCCAACAAAGAAACGCTATGTTGCACTGTAAGAACCATGTCTCCTGGGCGCAGATGATCCCCAGTCTGGGCGTGTGTGGGAGGCAAGCAATGGATGCTTCTCACTCTCCCCTCCTCTCTCTCTAAAAGCAATGAAAATGTGTCCTCAGAGGAGGATTAAACAAACAAACAAACAAAAGGACCACCTCTCAGCAAGCAGGGGCTTCCACTAACCCACCTCCCCATCTTGTGTGAACCTTCTTCTACTCAAGGGGGGAAAAAGGCGCACATGCCAAAATACAAAGCCCTCATTGCACTTTTTTGATAGAAAAATCGTATTATCTACCATCAGAGTAATCACTAAACTCATTGGAAAGGCAGATCATCGTTAGTACCTGTCATTTCAATCCTATAATCAACCCCTTCATCAAGGAAAATTGTTAGCATCTGTAAAAATAATATCAAAAGTAACTGTGGGAGCTGTTAAAATGACTATGGTGATGATGATGATGATGTGACAAGCAAGGGCTGCTTTGAAGGAACCATGGTTCCTGTTTCTTAACCACAGAGAGGGGTTTGCTTTGTTTTTTCTGTTTATGGAAATTCACTTAAAAGTATTTTCCCTGTTTTGAACAAATACATTCTATATGACGCCAAACGAGCTGTAGGTGCCTGGGAAATGTTAACCCAAAGTGGCGTGGCCCACCAGCACCGAGACAGAGTGAGGGATAAAGCTCAACACGCTCTCTCTCTTTTTTCCCCCAGATGACAGAACAAAGGAAGAATAAGCAGAGACTGGGCTTTCTCGGATCAAACCCACCCCATGTGAATCATCACATGCCACCACACTGATACCATGGGGGAAAGCCGTGACTAGCCTTTCATCCGTGCCCTGCCTGGTCACTGAATAAAGAACTGAGATGGAAAAGAGTGAACAGTGCCTATTGTTGAAAAGTTAAAAACAACCAAGTGCCAAGACGTTGACTGGTTTAGCTCCGAGAACAATTTATAACTGTGTTTTCATGGTTGAGAAGACCAAACTTAAAATGCAGCCTCTAGAGAGCACACATCACGTATTCTTCACGCAGTGTGAAATAACTTGCTCACATGGATGGAGAGGGTAGGGAGAGGCCGGGTTGGAAGGATGCCGTGCAGAGAGAACTACCTTTGCTAAGTCGATAAGAGTCAGTTTTGTCTTAAAGGCTGACTGCAACTTTTGTCCTGGTTGGTTGGACTTACTTTCTTTTAATTATGGCATATAGGTCAGTGACACAAGTCACACTCGGGTGGCCAAGTTTTACTGTAGAAAATAACTGAAAAGATTAAAAATGAAAGTTACAGAGAAAAATGTTAATGCTTCCAATCCGTAGCTGTCACAGGGCAATTTCCTAACAGGCAACACAATGGATTTACGGCTCTAGCAACTAGTGCCTTGGAGCTTAGGCCCCTCAAGCTGACGTCACAACTGGAATGTGATTGCTTTCTCCCAGATTCAGACGGAGCTCTGTCAGTATGGAGCACAAGAGGAGATTTTCATATAACTTGTTAAAGGCATGTTGTAAATCATGTGTAGGCTAAGATTGTAGAAGATTTGGGGAAGAAACAGCTGACAGTAAGCCCCAGGGAAGAGTTTTTTGAAAACATATGTGTGCTATTAAAATATATTGAGATTAATAAATGAAAATGCTTAAAGATGACGGGAAATTCTGAGAAACTTATGATGGTGGCATTTTATAAATACAGAGTAAAAGCTATTTGATTTATGTTTGCTGTGCTTAAGGAACTGAGTGGCTTTATTCGTGCAGTTGGGGAGTTGGGGGAAAAAATCCAAGAAATTTATTGAATACTCAAAAAAAAATGCAGCATATCAATTGCCTATTTTAAACTGTATCAGCGAGAGCTTTTTGGGATGTAGAAAGATAATAATCTCTTCCCCAAATTCTTTTTATGTTAAATTATGCAACTGGAATTTGTGGAGGGAGAAAATAACCTGCCATACTCATGTTATTCTTAGAACTGATGCTTTGAGAGTGTTAAAGTAAAACTGGGATAATGGAAGTGTTAGGAGAACCACTGTGTGGTGAGGGAGCGAGGCACATGTCACCAAAGTCTAGGAGATGCTTTGCAAATTGACCTTCTAGCCCTGCCCCCACAAGAACCAAAACTGCCTCCAGAATCTGTAAACTCTGATGTTATCACCACGAAGGTTGAAGGTCCAGACCTTCAGCTATGATTGCTATGACCATTTTTAAAGCTTTTCGATCAGTTTAGTATAGTTTAAGCTATTGAGTCCTAAAATTCTCCATTCATTGGTCTAGGTAGATTGGAAGGGATGCCTGAACCAGCCCCTGTTAACATGTATACTAAGAGTGAAACTGTTGAAACCGCGAACAACAAAATTTTGAGCTGAATTTCCTGGCATCCCTACATTCCCAGTCCCTCCCCAAGTTAAGTATTTTTCATGCTGACATAATAGTATTTTTCCTGACCAGTTGCTGAAGGACCATGCCAAAGAGGTAAAGAAGCTGAGATATATCTCTGCGTGCAGTACAGAGCTTTGAACTCAGTTAGACAGTCAATAAATGTATGAGAATACCACTATTCCTAGTTACCTTTAGTTCTTCATTAAAACTTTAAACTATATCACATACTTGATTTTTTAAAAATGCCTTGAAAACCAAAGTAGAACAAAGCGTCCATTGTTTTAACCCGAGACCATCATTGTTATAACAGCATTAGATGCAAAGTACAGTTCAAACTATTTTAATTAGGCAGAGAGTTTTGTGAGTAGGGGAAAGAAACGTGGAATATTGAACACATCCCAGGATAGGAACATACTGTTTCAGTACAAAATCAAATATTTTTGATGTCAAGAGAATAGATTAATTTTTAGGGATGAGAGCAACCTGTCTTTCAGATGCTGAACTGACTAGCCTTTTCTGATAGTGTGATAGTTTTTTTAAGGAACTAATAAGCCTTTGGGTTTGTGGCCACTCACCATGTCACAGCACATTGTCTCCTGTGGGAAGTGGCCCAACGAGACTGCAACTAACAAGATTCTTATCTGTTCAGGATTGAAATATTTCTCACTTGTGTTTCTCTTTTCTGTCTGAAAATTTAGAGATTACAAGGCAAAATGAACAAAAATGAGCACACAAAAAAGGAATTTTGCAGGCTATTCACGATGATGATAATGCAGAAATCTTACATCTGACTTATATTTGTTATATATATGTTTGTAATGCAACTGGAATATTTGACCTAAACAAATATTAATTAACATCTTCATATTTATATAGTGACATTAAATGCAATCATCCTTGACTTTGACATTAAGGGGAATGTTTTACTATTTAGTTGCTAAAATCTATATGGAAGGTAAATGCTGATTATAATTCTTAATTTTAAAAAGATTTTATTCCCCTACATGGTCCATTCTGAGGCCCAATAGTTTAATAAAGGTATGTTTCTTAAATTAAAATATCATGTTTAGATAAGAAAATGTTTCTATCAACTAAGACTATAATATTGATAAACAAATTGTATACATGTAGAATTTATCATTTTCTTCCCCTTAAAAAGTTAGTTTAGAAAAGGGCTTATTTTCTTGAACACTGAAATTTTTCTGTGACAAAGAGGATGCAGTTTCTAGTAAGTGATTGATAACAGCAGAAAGACACTTCACTTAAGTCAGAACTCGTGCTCTTATTTCCATATTCGCCACTCACAATTCATTGTTTTGACTGTTCTTTTTTGTTTATAGTTGTTTTATTACAAACAGTAATGCAGTAGAGGGCGACCTCCATGCCCCAGGACCGAGATGTGTGGAAAGCCTGGGGACCGGGGGAGAGGGAAAGGGAAGACTGGGACTTCATTATGTTAGGGACAAGAAGGAGTAAATGACAGAGAGTAGGAAGAAAGGTGCTTACTCTCCAGGGGCCCAGTAGACGGGGACATAAGTAAGTAAATAACACACAGACAGAATGATGTACCAGATTACAGACTCAAAAGATACTGCTTAAAACATGCCGAGAACAGAGCTTTGTGGAGGAGGAGCTCTAAGAGGGGTGTCGCTCAGCTGGTCTTAACTCTATGAAGAATAGCCAATCAGCATATTCTGACCCACAGACCCTTTCCACTGTGCCGTGGCACGTGATACAATGCAAAACAGAGTGGAGTGGGCATCCAAAACACAAGCACAGACCCTGACAGAAGCCTGGTGGGTCACTCAAACGGGTGAAACTGTGGCATGCGCGCCACGCGCAGGGTGTGAGGAGGCCCCAGTGAGCTTTCTGTTTGCAAAATTTGACATCTAATTCCAGTTTTTAGAAAATCTCTGAGGCCAGATGAAGCCCTCTAGTCACTCATTTGCTATCTCTGAAATAACTGTAAAGCTATTCCATTTAGTAGAAGAAAATACCAAAACCAAGCACAGGAAATAAAATCCATGTGAAACTTGAGAAATCTGAAAACAAATCCAGGTATCATCTCTGAACTGGCGGGTTTCCACAGACTTGAATAATTTATAAAGTTATCAGACCAGTACTTTTCATATCATCAGTAGACTTTTTCCCTAGAGTAGAATACAATGTTTGCCTTAAAAGCCATGATACTAATATGTCAAGACCAGATAAATATAATTTATAAACTATTAATAAAGTTGGATATGTATAACTTTTTCACGTGTGATACTTCAAGTGCTTTATTCATTTCTCACCAAGTTTCTAAATAATATATCCATCGGTATGAAAGTTGTTATTGCTATTTTACATAGGGAGGCCTGAGGGACAAAAAATTTGGTGACTTTTACTGTACTGATGAGCTAATCCATATGGACCAATGTGCCCAGCATTTATGCGGAGTTGGCCAAAGCCCTAACTGGCCAACACCTACTGGTGTGTGTGCGTGCGCGCGTGTGTTTTGTATTCACATTGTGTCTGATGCCCACGCAGGCTTAGTGGGCACATGTCATTTGGTCATCTAGGATTTCCTGGTTGTTAACGCCCAGTGCTTCAAATGACAGTTCCCCTCAAATGAGAAGGAAGCATGCGACAGCTGAAATCAAAATGAGTTGCATGAATCACATGCAAACCATGAATAGAATTCTCTGCTCATGTGGGCTTTTTCCAGTGTGCCACAGTTCCTTGGAGAAGTGTGGCAAGAGTTGTTTTGTTTTGTCTAGAATCAGAGGAAAGGTGGGAGGAGGGAGAGTGGACAATGAGTTCCTCTTCCAGTGACAGTTATTGGTACGAAGGGCAGGAGTATGCGTGTGGAGAGGAGTGTGATGGATGTCCGCAAGTGACCCTGCCTTTGACTGGTCGACCTGGGTGGCCGAGTCTTCAGGGCACAACCACAGGCCAGAAATCAGTGAACTTTAGCCTCCCCTATGTTCCTCCCAGACAGCAATGGTGCTAACATGTCACATGAAGTCGGCTCCACGGCAAACAAAGAAACACGGAAGCCAAACTTTATGCAGATAGAAAATTTATAGGAACAGAAATTAGTTATTGCATTCAGTTTGACTCAATTTAACAGAAAATTTTGGTTTTTACACTTCAGCGTGGATTTTCCCCTAAAGGGGCCTTGTTGCCTTTTAACTCCAGTCCTTGGGGTAAAATCAGTTCCATATACAATTGTCATCCTCACAGCTGTGGAAACGCGGATACCTCCACCATCCATTGCAACACATCTTTCCAAAGTCCTCCTCTAAAATTGATTTCTATAGGAAGAAACTTCTGAGGCAGCTCCCTATTCCCATAACTGTGCGTTTAGTTTTGTGTTTATATTCGTCTCCCTTTGGACAATTGTGTCTGCCTTTCTATACGCCATAACCTGTTCCTTCTCTTTCAAGGTAGAGCAAATGTTTCTTTGTGATTCTGGTCTTCTCAGCAGTGTATTCAAATAAAACTTCTGTGAAGACAATACCTTACTATGAAACCCAACTTTATAAAAAAAAAATTCATGTATTTTATATTAGCTGGGTTTTATCCGAGAAGCAAAATCTTGGTAGGTAACACGGCTGAGAGAGCCACAGTGGGATTCCACATCGTGCAGTCATGCGGAAGCGCCGGTGAAGAGCCCCGCGGAAGGCTGGCGCCTCTGCATCTGCTGGTGAGCCCGGAGTCAGGGAGCCAGTGGGGCTGGCAGTCAGGGAGAAAAGCTCGGCATGGAGCAGGGAAACACGAGGACGAACTGGGACCCATGGGGACAAACAAATTTGCATCTAGCTCGCAACATCTCCAAACTCCACAGCCCATGGGACCTAAAAAAGCTGGTGACCTTCACCATGGAATTGCATGTGCGTCTGACCCAGGACTAAGGGAAACTGAAGAAGAAGATCTGATTGGAGCTGGAGGGCTGCAACCTGGCACCTGGTCCTCCCCATCTGCGCCACCCCCCACCCCCGCCAACCAGGTGAGCCAGGAGATCGTGCTGTGAGCGGCAGCTGTGCCCTTACCCGCTCCTTTTGAACTTAGTGGCTGTTGCTTCACTTCCACCTTCCAAATCTCATGAAAATATTTCCTGTGGTCAAAATTAACCTGTAATCCTATGAGAAAGTGGATTCGGGGAAATGAAGTTTCAGCTAAGCCGGACTGACATAGGACAAAGCTACTCCACTGGATTTTTCATACTGGATGCACAGAAGACACGTTTCCCAGCACCCATTGCAGCTGGCTGGAAACACATGGCTAGTTCTGACCAATGGATTGTTCATGCAATTGACAAGCCAGGGCAATAAAAAGTCCCTGGACAAGCTCCAGTTTTTTCTCCCCCACATCAACCATGGAGGGCCAAGATGGAACCAGCCTGAATCCCTGAATCACTTCTTTGAAGGGAACTACCCTGGAGAGTGTTGATACACACAGCAGAAGCGGTGTGAGAAATAAACTTTCAGGTGTTACAGCTTTGAAATTTCAGAGTTTTTTTGGTTGTTAAATAAATGAGATTGGAGAGTATGTAATTGTTACTGTAGCATTATTCTGCCTACCTGACTAATACAGACATGTCCAATGTACCAAAAAATTTACCCAAATATAAAACTCCTGGGATGTATCCAATAAAAATATAAAATAAAGAAACATATATATGCAAAATATTCATTATTTCATTATACATAATTAGAAAACTGAATGAAGTCCAAAAGTCCAGTAATTTAAGTATGTTTAAAAATTTATGATTCACTCACAGCATAGAATGAAATGAAGTCTATGAGAAGTATATAAAATGAGGCAATATTGGAAAACAGGCAGGATGAACAAAGGATGACTACAAATTATGTGTATGCGATTAACTATATAAAAGCATGTTTCTTAAATAGACTTGAACAAAACACTCTGCGATGATATTTGTTTTAAAATACCTATAGAATTATATTGTACATTTTTTTTCTTATTTTCTAAACTGTTTTTAAGTTTTAAAATTGACTTGGGTAGTTTAATAATATTTTTAAAAGGAAATGAAATTTGTATTAAGTCCAGCAAATGTTTCTTATGAACAGATTATCCCAAACTCATTTACATTTTTAAAGGATCACTGGAACTGTGGAGTAAGTGAATACATAGCCACAGTTTATACCCATTTCAACAAGACATTTAAGAAAAACTACATGATATTCCTATGGACAAGAGAAAAAAAAAATTGTCCGGGATGAAAGTAGATTTTTGCATGTGAACAATTCTACTACATGTGAGATTAGAGTAAGATATCCTTGGCCTGTTGTTATATCTCTGTCCTTGGCCTTTTCCTGACCAATATTTATTTCAATGTCTAGAATAAAGAAATAGATAGCAAAATTATAAAATGTGGAGATGACACAAAGTTGGGGAGTAGAGGGAACATGATGGATAACAGAATAACAATGTCAAAAAACTGGAACAATGAACAAAGCTATTCTGATGAACTTTAACTGTGAGAAATGTAAAGTTAGCCCCCAAAAGCTCAGTTGCATATATACAGGATTCAGCAGACAACAATTTGTGTAAAAATCAAACAAACCTTGAGATTTTAAATAACTTCTATGTCCATATTTATATATTTGGTTATTTTAACATATGTTTATTTAGTGCTTATTATATTATACAAATATTGCAGAGATCCAGGCAAAACCTGATAAGGGTTTTATTGCACAGAGCAAGCACTGAGGATAGAAAGAAGAGTTATAAGAAATATTCAAAACAGAGAATCTTCAGGACTTGGTGTTCAATTGGGTAAAGAACAAGGAAGAGAGAGGAATCCAGGATATGATTCTTGGGCTTTTGGCTTGATGAATGGGAAAATAGTGATGCTGTCCATTGAGCTAAAGAATACTGGAGGAGTAGGGTGAGACTAAAAGATGAGTTTGTTTTTGGATATACTGAGTTTTATTTCTTTAAGAGGTATCCAGGAGGAAATATCCACTGTATAGTTGTATACATAGGTCTAGAGTCCATGAAAGAAGCCAGGAAAAGAGGTAAAAGATTTAAGAGTCATCAAGAAATACATGGCAGTAAGACCAAAAGAATAAATGAATGCTAAAGGACAGAGAGTAGACATTAAGAAGAGAAGATCAAGGATGGAACCACCCAAAAAAATCTATTAAGAAAAGAAAAAGAAGTGAGAAAGAAAAATCAGAGGCCTATGCAAAACATAAAGGAATGATGTTTTTAGAAATCAAAGGAGAAGAGAGTTTCAAAAGGTTTAAAAGTATGGAACTTTCTATCAAATATGCTAGTAGATGTCAGAGCCTCATATATCTCCTATTAACTTTTTCTTCATAATCATAAAAACTAGAGCACAATATTATACATAAAAGTGGAATATAAAAATAAGTAACATAATCAAAGTAAATTAGATAACAATACCATTCCAACTGCTAAGAAAAGTCTATTACAGAATTTTTCTAACTACCTCTAGGTCACACACTAGACATTCCATTCTCAGAACCCAATCGTGGATAGCCTAAAGTAAGAAACTAGGAGGAAACCTTGACTTACTCCCACAGTTTGATCCTGATTCATTTGAAAACAAGTGACCATCTCCATTTACATGAAAACTATGTTCTGAGTCAATCAGTTCCCATGTCTACTTTTCCTTCCCTTTCCCAACAAACTTCTCATTCTACCTCTAGAAAGAGACTTCCTGTACATGATACCACATACAAGTTGAATGAGGTGGGTGAGAAGCAAGGTGCACCCTGGCATGTGCAGTCAATGGAGGAAGAATGTAGTGAGTTTTCTGGTTGCTGTGAGTAATGCTTACTGGGCATTGTTGTTCTACACCTATATTGAATAAAAAATAAAGCACTACCTCGGACTCTAAGAGAATCTAGAATCAGTGTAGAAGGAAAGCACTTCTGCTTCTTTAAGGATTATTTGCCAGGCACTGCAACTTGGGGGGCCAGCCATGCGTATCAAGCTGTTCAAGAAAGAGGAGCAAAGTGGGAATGAAGAAAATGGCCTTCTACCAAAACGCTCTTTGGATTCTCCTTCCTCCGGCATTCCCAACTGAGGGCACCTGAAAGGTAGCACACAGCAGGCTCAGGGGAGCACAAGACGCCCTGAGAGACTAAGTCCCAGCCACACTTTCAAGTCAACCTTCACATCATAGACATACAACTGAATGAAGAACTAACAAAGGAAGATACAAAGGATTCTGTATCTGAATTTTTAAATTTGGTTACATGAAGACCTATAGATTAAATAAGTATAATCTCAGGAAATATTAAATGAAAAGTATATTACTATCACCAGTGCACACTCACTTCCTGATTGTAGGCTCCAATTTTGGGACTT